TTTTGCAACATGAACAAGACTAATCAATATTACCCTTTCAGCCTGAATATATATAGATTAGTTAGTACAGCGCCAGCTGCATGTAATCACTGGGAAACGTACATTAATGCCACAGGATCGATAGAACCCTCCTTGAAGGGCCACGTCTCCTATTTATGCACCTACCACTCCGCCGTCATTGGCACTACTGCTATAGCCCCTAAGAAACGAAAACAAGGATCATGAGCTTGTGGGCGTCAATTCGAAATGTGTTAATGGAATTCTGTGATACCACCGAGATTAATGGCATCAGTAATGCTAGCAGAATAACTCAACCACTTCGCAAATGTTTTTGGTGCATCATCACCTTGGTAGCTGCTGGTGCTACAGTCTATGTGAGTTCCCTTACAAATTATCTTCCAATTTTTCCGAAAGAGCAATAGTAACTCATAAAGTCATGGTGGTAAAAGCAAGTTTCTTTCCAATTTTATTTTTACTCGGCTTCATCCGTGCAGGGGATCTGTGATGTGCTATCAACCTACTTGCAATATCCTGTATCGACGATGGTCTCAACGACATTGCCCGATTACCTGGATTTCCCAGCTGTGACTGTCTGCAACCTTGCGGGTTTTTCTTGCTCAAAATTCAAGGCTTTGAACTCGAGTAAATATCCTGCAGCACAGGTATAGTAATGACGACACACACATTTGTGTTTTTACGTTTGTCTCTAAATATGCTAATCCTCTGTATTTTTGGAGCAATTAAGCGCAAGAGATCTCCGGGAAGAAAAGGAAAGGAGTTGAAGCAATTTAGGAAAGACATGGAAACCCGCGTTTCGTAGAATTATTGAATGAATTGTCTAAGTAGAGGGAGAGTCTGTCGTGGAAAAGTCCCGTCCACGTTACTAGAGGCAACAAAAGCTAAAATGCCTTAATAAAAACATACCAAAAAAGCCGTAGCAGTTACTATTGAGGATCCATCGCCAAGCCGCCTAAAAAGTATGCAAACTTTATGCGGAAAAGTGTTTATTTTAATATACCTGTAAGTGTTCTACAAAATATTTCAACATGTAAGATCATCTTGACCTATGGATATATTTAAGTAGAAAGACCACAAGATAGGAGCATGATTATGCAATAGCTTATGCATGATGAATAATTCAATTGCTTTCTGAGAGACATTCCCATGATTATGTCCATGCCCATTGCCCATACCCAAGCATGGTTTGGTTCCTGTTGTTAAGTCATACTTCAGACTCAACAGGTACCAGTCTATCCAAGAAAGAGAGATATATCAGAGAGGGTCCCCTTCCCTATAGTAAGGTCAGTCGGAGGAAGATGCCACTGAGGGGAAGATGCCACAGCTAGTGAAAATTCAATAATTTTTAGTAGTGGGCGGCAGACTACAGAGATCGGTTGAACACGCCTGGCTGTTGATTCTGCAACCGTTTCAGCAACGTGCGTGCATTTTTGTGGCAAGTAGAGCAAAATTAATCTAGGTACCCTATGTGTACAGGTGTGATATAATTTTAGGATGTTTTTACAAAGGCCCTTGTAGGTGAATGGCAAATGAATATACAATTATTAATTATTACATAAAATTGCAGAAAATAAAATTATTGCTAGATGAAATCATAAACTGGGCCATACACTCTTAGAAAGGAGTGAGCGATTTCCGAGAAAGGGAGCGAAACTGGAGTTTGCGATTTTACTCACTAAAAACGAGGAAGTACAATCGATTAGTACTCCTTTATAGGAGCAGAATCCATAAATTTTCCAAGAGCGCAAAGCGAAGGAAGGAGAGTACATTTAAAACTAGTATAACAAGTTAGTAGCTGTTCCCAGGAAAGAGAATGGTGAGCGGCTGATCTTCCTTGCTTTTAGGGAGTAAATTCGCCAACTCCGGTTTCGCTCCCTTTCTCGCAAATTTCTCACTCTTTTCTAAGAGTGTAGTAGGTAGACTGGTGAGCTCTGTAGGTGCTGCCATGTTCTTCACCATAGAACTTAGTATTCTAGAATGGAATGCGGGGTTGTGGGCGGAAGATGCCACTATCCTTGTAGGGGAAGATGCCGGAAAGTGCCATCTTCCACCAACTATATTATAACTAAGTTGTATTGAAATATTGTGTGCATAGTAGTCTAAAAATTATAGGAGGTTTGTTATAATTCAAATAATGGAGTATGATTCATATAGTGGTTAAATATTATTAAATAATTTTGCCTGTATAAGTGTATTATTTGTCTGAATAAGTCATAGTAGGCATATTGAATTATAAAATATATCTGTGAATAATGTATTCTGTGCAAATATCCATTGCAGTGCCTGTCATGAATGCAAAACTACATCTGAGGTTAATTTAAGTACAGAAAATGCCTTGAAATTACAAACGAAAAACGTGAAAGACATTTAGCATACCGTACAAAATACTAGAAGAAGGATTGCATAGAATTAGCCGACCTGTGGAAGACTTTCACGAACTCTACGGCTAGAATTCCCGAGTTCATTCGGCGGCCCTAAATCTAAATGGCCCTCTCATTGCAATAAGCAGTAGCCTCTCTTTCCCATTCTTTACACGTCCCCACGTTTAACCCCTGGAGTCCCCCTTCATCCTGCTGAATGAAGGATGACTTCCTCGCCGGGTGAGATGTTCGCCCTTATCGGAATCCCGACCCCTTTCTTGATCGGAAAAATTTCCTATTGATCGCAACCCTGTCCACTTCATCCGTAAAGTCCATCTCCGTCAGAAAAGTACGTTCGGACTCACTTTGTATGTCTATACTTTTGCCCTACCATTGCTGTGCTGGCCGTCGCAGGAACGCTAGGTTCCGATTCGGAAGGACAAGATAGGGTGGGATTACCCTAGAGCGGCGTTTCACCCTCGGGAATTACTGTCCTTCCCGTGGAGGAAAACGGCACTCCAAGTGTTGTACGCGAGTTTCCCCGTGTGAAAGTTCATATCTAGGTGTGAACATCCCTTATTTGGGGAAGGGGAGGGGGGGGGGGGGCGCAAGGCGTACGATTGCTTTCTCCCATCCTTAAGAACGGATCCCACAATCGCGAAGGCCAGAGAGAAAGTGGGAGCTCGAGAGCGTGAGACGGGCACCCCAATCCGCGGAAGTCTTCCAGGAACTGTTTCTCGGGAATTCCCGAGCTCAAGTCAGCAGCCCTAAAACTCAACGGCCCTCTCAACGATGTAAGCAGCAGCCCCTCTATCCCGTTCTCGAAAATGACCTGTGGAAGACTTCCACGAACTTCGGGTCGGTCTAAGTCAGGGGTGTCAAACTGCCGGCCCGCTTCTTGATTTCGTCGGGCTTGCAAAGTCCTCTTCACATTGGTTTCGGAAAAGTATAGACTTTTTCAACCTGTTTGCAATTGAACTTTGGGTTTCCGACCTAAGGTATCGTTCTAACATAATCAGGGTCGCCGGAAGGAATTTGTGAGGCCTGGGGCAATATTCACGTAAGATCCCCCTTTCCAGTCTCCCCCTCCCCCCTGCGTCAAACAAACTCAGTCATTGCTAACGAACGCTACGCTATTATACAATACAGTAGTCCCTCGCCAACCGCGGGGGTTACGTACCTGAAAAACACCGCAGTTGGTAAAACCTTTGGCTTATGGGAAATAGGGGGTTAGGGGAACCCACTTTCAAGAATACAGGCACCCGTGATTCATTGACTTGTGCAAATTTAAGCTTATCTTTGTTTTACCAAGGTACTTAGATCCTCGATAAAAATAAAAAAACCTCATGTAAACGTTCTTTTCTTTATGTCGTCTTTCGAAACGAATAGGTGCTCGATATGTCCGCCGTCTAGGTTGATACAAATGTGAAGCCTCTTCAAGACGTTGTGGCACGCTCGGGAATAAATGAGGGGTGGCAAAAAAAAGGTTCTGAGACCAAAGCACTTCCAGCCGCAAAACACCATTCTTACTCTTTCACGGTAAGACACAGATGTCTGATGGTGACTGGCGAAATTTCATCTCATTTGTCGATTAAGGAGAGCTTCTATGAATTATTTTCAATGTGCTACAAAAAGGTCTGCTGAAGGGGTATAAAGATCGAGACGCATGCTGTGAGGAATTTCCAAACCTCTAAGGAGCCGACCTAACGGTAGGACTTCCAGAGACTGAGAGGATAGAGTCTTTCTGATCCCCTCTAAAAATTCCTCACAGCATTCGTCTCAATTTTAATACCACTGTAGCAGATCCTTCGGTAGCACATTAAAAAAAAATTCCAAAACACAAGCATTAATTATTCATATCTACAAGAAAATTATATGTAGTTACACTAAGCCTAAATTCTTTTTGATAACGTCGTTTTTTATTACTCGTACCCGGACTTTGGCGCCTATGAGTTTTGAAGTATGCGCGGTTGGTAAAACGATATGCATTTCGAATATTCAAAACCGCGGTTGGGAAGGGATTACTGTATACTTCGTATATCATCCGCAGTGGCACCCCCAGGCAAGGGACACGGAACAAGTTGCCCCTTTTGGTCACCTCCCCTACCCCCTCACTACAGTACGGTCCTGAACATAGTAGTGGAAGGGATTACTGTATACTTCGTATATCATCCGCAGTGGCACCCCCAGGCAAGGGACACGGAACAAGTTGCCCCTTTTGGTCACCTCCCCTACCCCCTCACTACAGTACGGTCCTGAACATAGTAGCGGAATCGACGAGTCTAGTCAGTACTTGAACACTCTATGCGGCAGCCGCTCTCCCGTTCTCGAGAACAAATCCGACAGTTGTGAGGATTCGAAAGAAACTGCTCGCTCAAGAGCGAGAAGTTTTGACCACATTTAGCAGTTTGAAAAAGTGTGGCATTGGTCAAAAAAAGCATGTTAAAAAATTGTGGCTAAACATGGGTATATTTTGTTCTCTAATACTTTGTTGTTTATGTCTTAATACATATATTACATTTAGAATCCTCTACATTGAATACAAGCTTAGTTTGGGTGCCATTTCTACATGTGATGTCTTACCAATGATGAGGTGGCATCTTTCCCGCACAGTCGGGGAAGATGCTGGTTAATACCACATTTATTGTTTGTTTTTTGCTGACCACATTCACACAGTTTAAACATGTTACTGATGTTTCATTCCATACAGCAGAGGGTAACCATGTCCTACATGTACGCTTTTGGACGATTTTTCTCCTATGGAAGGCAGTAAGAACATTTTCCCTTCAGTTTGGCACCTTCCCGCCATTTACCTTATTTCCGTTATCATGATTCCAAAGAATGAGGTATCCTGAGCAATAGTATTACAGTTATATTATTCGGGACAACAAATGAAGTAAATTCATGTTATGCCCCACTAAGCATGAGCTTCACATTCAAGATTTTACCAGCGTTCGTAACATAAACAGAATCGCAATTATACCTCATGTATATCTCATTCCAGGATTTAGGTTGTGTCAATCCGAATGAGACAGCTTCAAGCGGAAAGAACTCCTACAAGGTAGAAAGTTCATCTTACACCTTTTCCCTTTTTTGTTCTCTCTAAAGTGCACCAATGGGTTTCTGAAGGCGGTAAAATGTAAGACATTGCAACTGGAAGACTATAAGAGAATCCATCATACCACTCACCCTGGTCTTCCGAAATTGCATAACAGGAGGATGAGATGCGAAGAAAGAAATACGAAAATAATTTTCTTGAGTTCTCAAGATCCCTCTTAGATTCAATAAATCCCAGGTAATGCTTGTAGATGTTATTCACAATATTGCAATGTTAGGTTAATTTTATCTCCAGACAACATCAATTTCTTTCACACCGAGGTTGTTCCGTTCTCTTCCCATTATTCATCAGATAAGAGAATCTGAAGAAGAAATTGTGATAACCATCTGTGCCATACTGTTGAATGCCACTCTATACTGCATTCATCTAACCATTTCTTTTGGAGAAGGTTTACAGCATATTATTTTCTAGCTCCAGCTAGGCGAATTCGATCAACTCGCGAAAACTTGGCTGCTTCGATATCTGAAGGACAGGCCTACCTACCTTGACTTCCTGTCTCGACTCAGCCCAGAGGACCACGTCAAGATCATGCAAAACAGAGATGAATTCATCCGCATTTGCATCTTCAAAGAAAATGATTGCAGAAAGTAAGCCCTATTGCCTTTGCCCGATGATCTTCTGAGAAGCAGGAGCGACAGATTTATCCTTCTCTCACACAGGTATTTCTTGCCGTTCCTGAACACGACGTATGTAACATGCTACGCCTTCAATCTGATTTTGAATAATGAAAGTGATCCAATGGCAGGATCCAGGTATATTGGCAATCCAGGTGATGGTACGTCATTTTTTACTATTCCAACTAAATGTTTCTTTGCATTACCAGGAACTGAAACGATTGGAGTCGTACTAATGAAGAAGAAGCAGTACTTACACGTTTCGCGTTTACCCTTACAGGTTCCAGGGGTACCTATATACCTAGAAGTACCGGAGCACTCATTTTGACCACTATATAAAGAACTGTATAGAATCTTTATTTTGTAACACTTTATTTTGTTTTTTAAAGTAGGTCCTAATAGGTCGCAGGACAGACTCGCAGTGGCTTAGAAAGTTGCCCACGAAGCCAAATATTGATACATTGATTTCCTTATAGCGGTCAATATAACCGCTTCGCGATTTATAGGTATAACTGTTATATCTCCATTGATTTTGTAACCATGGGGCAACTTCTGTATCATGATGCTGAATATAGGAAAGGGGAAAAATCTATGGGCCCATAGTTTGTCAACCAAGCAGAGTCAGTTGCATTTAAAAGCAGCTAGCGGTCAAAATGACCGCTCCGGTATTTCTTGTGTTAAGAAAGCAAGGACAGTTTAATGGGATTAATACAAACCCTGTCATTTCATGATGCGTCTTAAAAAAATTGAAGTCGAAGTTGCAATTTCGATTTCAGGAGCACTTCCTTTTCCAGCCAAGCACAATTGAATAATTAAAGGAAAGTATATACCCTTTGAGAATATTTTATGAAAGGGACAAAGTGGAAAGAAAAGGCTAGAGTCATTATTTTTTCCATAAACTGTCACTCATAGAAAAAAATGCTGAAAAAATTCGGTCTACGCGCATTCCGTTTCTTTATTTTTCTTTTAGCATTTTTGCATTTGATGCTCTTTTTTACAAAGGATTTTAAGATATATATATATATATAGTTGGTATATATATATATAGTTGGTAGACTACCAACGACGAACAACTCCGAGAGCTTACAGCCCCTGACACCTATACGTACCTCGGTGTGGAAGAGAACTCTTCCGTAGCTGTCAAACGCACAAAGCAGAGACTGACGACAGAATACAAACGCAGAGTTGGCACGGCCAGCATCCTTCGCCGCGTCCTTCAGAATTAAGACGAGTATGAGGTCTGGGATGTGGTTCATCCCCCCTCATATCTCCAATACCGGCAGATGCCGTGGAAGGATTTATTTATATTTATTTATTTATATCGTGTCACATTATATTTTATAACAGGTATGGAGCTGACGCTGTATATGAACAAGAGCGATTGGCCAATGAATTGGGTTTGGGGTGGAGTGGGTGGAGTTATAGTGGATGTCCATCGACCTGACAAACACCCTTCCCTACATGAATCCCGTTTGTATGTTCGGCCTGGCGCTGCAACGTATATCTCCATGACACAGGTCTCTATTGATTCTTATTGATTCATTAGAACGACGAGTTTGGACCCTCAGAATGTAGTAATGCAGATGATACCAGATTCAAAGGTAAACCTCAGTAAAATGGGTGAATTGCAAATAAATGAGTAGAACATTAAATGTAAATCATACTAGTGTAATGATTGAAAGAAACCGTGTTTCTGTGACTGAAAAGTTTCATCATATTCTCGTAAACGTATGGTCTCTCAAAGCCCTGGACATTTCAAAGATCGGAGACAAACGAACCATATCTTTCCTGAATACGGGTAGAAGGAGGTGTCGAGATTGGCTTATCCCTACGAACACAATTGCTACAATTCGTGGGACGACTGCGGTTACTATCCGGCCAACTCCACCATCATCGCCTATGACGCTGTGGTCCGTCTGCAATCTGATCCAATACCTTTATGCTTAGGATACTTGATCGAAAAACTTTTTTTTTCATTTTCCCATTTCATTTTCAGTATTTCCCAGATTTTTGTGAAGAACGGACTATATATAATATTTTCTGCTAAGAGGGTACCATTATGGTTGACAAATGCAGAGATTGGTGACGAGATTCCCATAACAAATACGTATTGAAAAATCCATTGCCTGGCGACGCAGCACCCCCCAAAAGCCCCATGCTACCTCTATAGGCCTAACCTGATTGTAAAGTTTAGCGGTGCATTTGGATATGGAGTTGTCCGTTCCCCCCCTCCCTCCGTCTCCTCTTTTGGGCTCCGTGTGACTCGCATGATTATTATCTGAATGATGTTTTTTGTTAATTTCCTAAATGGGAGGGCTAAAAGTTGGAGTTCTGATCCTTCGAGCTCGTACATTAAGCAAACTTTAAGGAAGAAACGCCATTCGTATAAAATGTATTTGCTTGCTCGTCAAAATAAAAGTATGCAGTCACCTTCCCATGATGAGCTCTCTCATCAAGTAACTCACCATCTTGATTCAGGGAAATGAACATGGTGATGAGGATGTGAATAATATTTGAAAAAAGCATTGGAATGGAATCCAATGATTATAAACTTTGAAATTTTTTCATTGATGAGCAGTGGCGCACTCCAGGTATTTGAAATTCTGTATTCCTGCTTACTACACACTATGCCAGAGAATAAATTCCCGGAATAACATTTTTGCGTCGATCACCTTGTTGACGTATTGCATCTTGCAACCCATGAAAACTCTAAAATTGATATGAACTACTATTGCGTCTCTGAATCCCAAATCGTCAGAATTTTTTTATAAGGAACAGTGAACCCACACTTACGTCCGCACGTTCTCCTACACGTAGGTCAGTTGTTGCCACCCGTTCACGTTGACGTTTCTGTGTCCTTAGGCTCTGATAAAGTGGAAGCGCCCCCCCAGCAACCTACTCATCCTTCCTTGTATCGGTCCGTCTCTATTATTTACTCTAAGTGCCTTTCCTCATTCATACAGATATTCAAGCTTGTGTTCATGTATGGAATGTTGCAGCAGCATGTAGAAAAAGGCATTCAAGCTGATTTTTCTCACGAAACTAGCCAGAGATTCATTGTCCGTCCTCACCCTTTCGTTCATTTAGCACCCATTTGCGTAGAATAAGTTCCACTTCATCTATATGGTTCAGAAATCAAAATGAACGTGATATTTCTGTAATATGAAAATCTGAATCACCTCGAATGAATTGAAACTGCAGATTTTCTGATTAGAAATGCTGTTTTTCTAATTTGGCCGCACAGAGGGAAAGGCTACTATATTGTTCCTTTTTATCTGGTTAATATGTAGCCATCAATAACTAAAGTTATGATCCCAGGATCTAGGTGTACAAAATTTGGTTACATTTAGATATATCTGCTTGTGTCTTGGATATTAATATCATGATCTAAAATCACTCTTTTATCAAAGTCAGTGGTGGGAACTGACTTTTCGAGTGACTCACTGAGTGTCCAAATATGTTACAATCTCTGGGAAGAATTCATCCCTTCAGTCGCCTCGCCATGCTAACCCAACTTAAGTCAGCATTGCATTTACAGCACTTCCTACCAGAGAAATGACTACTTCCAATCCAGCAAACAAATACCTTCTCATGACCATTTCCTAGTCCTTTGACCTCATCTTTGATAATTTGATCTACCAGCTTCTTTTTTGTCTCATTTTTTAATCACTCATTCTAATCTAATGCTGCATATTTACTTTTGTATCTGGCTAGGAGTCAAGAACAAAGAGTGCGCTGCATCAGTCGTTGATGGAGTTATTAACGGGAGCATTGATTGCCCCTGCAATCCAGAATGCGGGTGAGTAAAGATTTCACATGTTCTGTATATTTTCGCGGAACGCTATTCCCAAGTAGACGAAAACTCGACTTCAGGACTTTAAGGACGTAAGGATTATTGAATCATATGTGATTCGTGGGTGTTTTATTGCGAACGAATGAGGAATTTTGTGTTGCATGGACCGCCTTAGTCTAATTCGAAACGCGAGATTCTTTCATAAAGATTCATCGCATGGCCTTTCCAAATATTCAAACATGCCTGAAATATAAAGTTGTTAGACAAATAATTAAAGTCAATTTGTATGTTTCATAATAGTCTTTTCGATTCGCAGCTGAGGAAGCGATGCATCTCGAAAGCACCCAGCCCAATTTAGTTCCAATAATATGTCCATGTCATGTATAGACGATTCATTCATTATTTTTCCAATGTTAAGGATTCTATTTTGTCAAAATGTGCGTACAAGTCTGTGGTCAAGTCTGGGCAAACCGTAAGGAAATACTCTACATGACATTTCGAAATTGTGTTATTACCTTCACCCATACGCACACACACATAAGTAAAGGAATGCAAATGCGCGTATACACATACACACAAGCACAGTAGTTTCACAGAACAATATTTATCCCAACAAATACTCGTTTAATATCCTAAGGCTATCATTGCCAATATGGTTTATTTCCTCTGCTAGAATTTGAAGGTCACAACGCATGAACAAATCTGCGTTCAACAGAAGCTGCAAGATCTCAATCGAATAAAATTTAGTATTCTTTCCTTATAAGACATCCACCTACTGTATATCCCCTAAGCTGAACGGCAAGGTTGATAGAAAGTGGATCTGGAACCCTTTGAATTCCCCACCAGGTGAAAATCCACTTGTTCATTCGCGTATGTGTACTTCAAGTCCCTCGATTCACAATTCAAGGTGGATTTTCCATCAAGTCAACATCACTCCAACAGATGGATTTACATAATAAGTTATTCGATACATACGTCAAGTAAAAGGGAATTAGACGTTTTTGAAGGGCACGTCACGGTACTGCATATCCTTGGAAAAAATATATGAGAAAGCAGGTAACAATATCAAGAATTGAAGTGTTGCCTTATTCGCGAGCTAACTCTGTGTTATTTATTCAAAATAAGTCGGTTGTCGTGAGTAAGTAGTCAGAAGCCTTGGAGATTGAGAAGACGTAGCTGGACCCAGGACCTTGCAACAGCGATTACCTCCGTCATCGGGGTCAAATCCAAAAAGAGACTGATTTTGTTTCTCCTCTAAGAACGTAGACTTCCACGTATATGTGTACTACGTGAAGCACGAAGCTTCCAATTACATCACATTTCGCGGCCTCACGTTCAGAAAAAAGGCATGCCGCATCGAAAGTGCGATCGAAGTTCAGCGCGGAGGAGTAAATTTTTCACGGCTGAAGGGACCAGAATAATCTCTCTATATGGATACATATATTTTCGAAATTCATACGTTGTAATGAAGGAAGGAAGCATCTTGGCAAAGGATGATGAAGGATTGAAGAAGATCCACGTCCAGGATAGTAGTTGGTAATCGGATGATGAGCATTTTCGCATAAAACTTTGGCATAGAATTGAAATTCACAGCGGTGGCGGGAGTTTGAAAAGCGTTTAAAATGGCAACATCATTATTTTCATAAATAATTTCTCATCAAATACATATGATTCTAGATACCATATAGGAATATAAGAAAAATTTGCATGTTTCGGCATGAAATTCTTCGTAAATACCAGCACTGTTAATAAACTGCTTTACTGAAGCACAATATAATTATTAGGGGCTTACAATTCGAGCTCTTGCATTTCTAAACTTCCTGTGTATGAATAGCTGAAAAGTATCTCAATTTATTTTTAAGTCAAATCATTGTTTCATATTTCACACATGAAATATTTGATTGAACGAGACTACCCCATGTCAATTTAGTAAATAAGCAAGCATGCAGTTTTCTTTTGCGGGGAATTTTGAAGGTCTCTTTGGTCTTTGGAGGAGGGGGAGAACTCAAATGTTGTTAAACCTAGAATATTCATATTTTGAATGCATCAATTCCTTATACGCGTATGCATCAATTCCTTATATATTGCGTATAATTCCATTATGAGCAATATGTCTATTTTTTTTAAATCGCAATCGGTAGTGCAAGCATCTTCAACGAATTCACATAGGATGTGTACGTTGCGATTCGAAGGTGCAACGCTATGTATTTATCCCGTATCGTATCATTTAACGAAGAATGCATAGTTTCCTTGTTCCTACTGGACGCGCCATCGGCGCTCTGCGATCTAAGGAAATTACTAATGAATTTCAGTTTAAGGCATCCGTTTTCGATACTCACTCCTAGTAATGCGGTCAAACTCCTTTACTCATGGGTTCAATTCCCACACCTTTGGCTCTGACATCTTTAAAAATAAAGGTATCTTAGATCATATTTTTAGTAACGCCATGTGACTTGTAGCACGAGTATCACCAAGTAACAATTCTTAGTGCGTCGTTTAGTGTTCGATTGGTGTATTCAATTCTTGATTATGGTTGACGAACTCTTGATGGAATATCAATCTCCAAAAAAAGTAGACGTGATTAATAGCAGCCACATGAACCACATGAGCCAAATGAGAGTTTTAACGCAATAACCCTCTATTGACTCTGTTCACAGTATGGGGAGTTCTTCATTTTCTTCATATCTATATTTAAGCACAAGTATTTTCATGGAATCCCTTTTTCTAACTCTACCTAGCTACTTGTGAACCAAGTATCGGATTTCTAACTTCTCTAAGACATGGTTAGAATTAGCGTCAGTCACTCACGACCGTCTCGTATATTAGATTTGACAACCGAGGAAGGCAAATGCGGAAGGTATGATCCATGATCAATACTTCATAACCTTTTAGAAAATTAATAAGCACATTTATTGATTATTTATAACTTTTATATTACTGCTGACAATGTGAAATCAGTTCATTTCTCTCCCCTTAACAGGGAAATTGAATACAAGAAGACTGTATCCTCTTCGGATTGGCCAAGCAGAACTTATGTGGTGAGTACCACCTTTTTCATGGTCACGATGCTCATCGTCACTGAAATCCAGGTTGGAATGAAACGTTACTTTACTACTCCGCAGAATTCACTGTTTGCTCCGATGGCACCGTCGGAAGCGCAAGGATACGACGAGCTAAAGGATGAGGTGCTCGCTTTGCACATCTCCTTTTCGTCGATCACTAAAGACATGATTACTGAATTGCCAACTTTCAGCGTAAGTTACATCATCCTTCGCCATTAAAGACCATTTTGGACCATGAAGAAGTTAATTTGAGTTTCGCTCTTTCAAACCATCAGACTTTGAATCTGATAAGCAGTCTGGGTGGAGTCTTGAGCCTGTACTTGGGAATGTCTTTGGTCATGTGCCTGGAAATCCTTGAAATTTTTCCGCTCATGATGCAAACAATCATCAACCGGCACTTCAATACAAGTCAGAAACCAGACCCAGGGCCCAAGATTGGTGTGCCGCGTCGGAATGCTCGGAAGAGATACCCGAAACCCGTCGCAAGGGCCATCAATACCAAATGAATTCGAAGAAACGAGGGACTGCTTTCGCTTGCTTTCTCTGCCAATTCATTTTTTCACGTTTGACTGCATATTCATGACCGCTAGCACGAGTTTCCATAGGCCATCATACCAAAAAATGTCTTTTTTGTGTAATTGTGGCTTTAAAGAATGTAAAATTTCAGATATCCCGTAGAAGAAACATGCATGAACGAAAAGTACATTTGCTCGTTATAGATGAAATCCGAATCTCACATTCGCATTTCCGAGGTCAACATTTTCAAATAACCAAAATAACTCGTTCGGTGTTCATCCACCCATGATTGGTGGATTTATTTAAGCAATTCGGGTGCACCATATCCATTATCTCAAGATAACTCCCATCAAAGACTTATCTTCATTTCAGAAAGCAGACATTTTTACAAGTACAACTCTGAAACACTCGCAACATAAGGGTCACCCGTAAACTGTACACTTAACTTTGAATCCCCATTACGAGAAG